TTAGACCCATGTGGGTGCCTCTCTTTTATAGCCAACTCAATCCTAATCCCACTGGAAGCCTGACTTCTATGGACTCCCATTCAGTGCTTACTTTGGATTTCACAAGAGATAAAGATAAACTTCCTAAGAGTTTTATCCTTATCTTATCAAAGTTCCTTTTTTACTCTAGGACTCTTGCCCCCTATCCATTTATCTCGGACTCCGATATCTTCGGAGATAACCTCGGCCTTGCTGAGATAACCTCGGCGTCACAACCAGGACACGTGGCACCTCGGCTGACACGTCGGCGTCACATTGCCACGTGTTGGTATTCAGAAAATACATCCCCACAGAAGGGGATTGAGATTTATAGTGAGGTGGGATCCACTAATATCATGTTTGTTTTGAGAGATAGAGAAGGGATTTGTAATCCCCTCCAGACTACGAATCCCCTTGAGGAGGGGATTAAGATAGGCCCATGAGACTTGGTATTAGAAAATAGTCCACCCGACTTATTTTTTTATTTTATTTTTTATTTTCACATGTTGGCCATTTTGTTTTGAACATAAATGTTTAATTTTTTTTTGTTAAGTAAAAATCATAATTTTATTTATATTTTAATTTTTTTTTTACATATTGGGTATTTTTTTTGAACATTAATGTTTAATGTTTTCGTATTTTTGTATATTTATTTTATATAAAATAAATTTAACAATTTCTACACCAACCAACAACTATTATCAAAACAAACACAATTTTACTTAATCCTCTCACTATCAATCCCCTCACTGTTAATCTCTTCATGAATTTCTTTCATTCTACCTCTAAAAACAAATGAGGCCTAATAGTTCCCATGTTGTCTCTCAAAAACATATCTAGTGATCATGATTGTCCTTTGTTGATATGGCAATTTTGACAATCTTTTCCCATGTTTACCTTTGTTAGGGGAGGGATACGCAATAGGTAAAAGTGTTGAATAAGGGGTCACGATGGTGGATGGGGGTTCAGTGGAGTCCCAATGGTGAGAGAGTTGGAGAAGAGGTGGATTATGATAGGAAAGGATTCGGGGATCGATGATCAAAAGTGGAGGCGGTGGTGGTTGTAGCGGCCAAAAGTAGTAGTTAGGGGTGTTGAGTAAGGGGTCACGATGGTGGCTTAGTGGAGTCCCGACAGTGAGAGAGTTAGAGAAGATGTGGATTATGATGGGAGAGGACTTGGGGATTGGTGATCGGAAGTGGAGGATGTGGTGGCTGTGGTGGCTAAAAGTGGTAGTTGGGTGGGTGGGTAGAATGGAGTTGAGATTTGAAAGATGAGTAGGGTAAAGATAAGGCGTTTTTTTTTTTGGGGGGGGATAAATTACAAATATACCCCTCTAAAGTTTACTTAAAGTACAGATTATCTTATGTGGTTTGAAAAATTACAAATATTCCTTTATTAAAAAAATTTATTTAACAAAATTAACTAAAAAAATAAAATTCATAATTGCTCTCCTATACAATAATAAAATTATCTAAATTATTAATTGAAATATATTTCTAATATCATTAAAAATGATTAATTAACTTAATGATTTATTAATAAAATAGATAATTTGTTATGAAATTAAAATTTTCAAAAAGTGAAATGTAATTTTTAAAATTACTGGAGGCGACTTACATTTTAATCAAACTTTATGTGGTATATTTTTAATTTATTTATTTATTTATTTTTGTTTGTTTGTTTTTATGGCGAGACAAAACATAAGAAAAATGCGAGCGGATCCTCTAGAGTGAATTCTCTGGAGTGATCTCCTAAAGTAGTTGATCGAACGGCTCAGAATAAAACTCACCAAAACGACGTCGTTTTGGGGAGTATTTTGAAAAAAAAAAAAAAATCAGATTTTTTGAAGGTTTTTTTACAGATCAACAATGGCTTCCATTGTTCATCATCATCACAACCCAACAACCTAAATCAGATTAACTCTCTCTCTCAAACCCATTCTCTCCATCACCCTCCTCATTCTCTCTCTCTCCTCCCCCACTCTCTATCTCCATAAACGACTTCACCAAATCCGACAGATCCACCGCCGTCTCCGGTGGTGAGTACTTGCTTCCGCTACTCTCGCAGAGCCTAGCGCCACTTCATCAAACGCCTCTGCCACCCTCTTGAACCTCGCTGCCATTGTTGATCTGCAAAAAAAACTTCAAAAAATCTGAATTTTTTTTTTTTTTTTTTTTCAAAATACTCTTTTGGGGGGGGGATAAATTACAAATATACCCCTCTAAAGTTTACTTAAAATACAGATTATCTTATGTGGTTTGAAAAATTACAAATATCCCTTTATTAAAAAAATTTATTTAACAAAATTAACTAAAAAAATAAAATTCATAATTTCTCTCCTATACAATAATAAAATTATCTAAATTATTAATTGAAATATATTTCTAATATCATTAAAAATGGTTAATTAACTTAATGATTTATTAATAAAATAGATAATTTGTTATGAAATTAAAAATTTCAAAAAGTGAAATGTAATTTTAAAAATTACAGGAGGCGACTTACATTTTAATCAAACTTTATGTGGTATATTTTTAATTTATTTATTTATTTATTTTTGTTTGTTTGTTTTTATGAGCTGGAAAGAAGACAATTTGGGAAAAGGGGGATGGAAAATTACCATGTTTGACAGAGAAATTGAATAATCAAACCTAGACGCCAAGTTAGAAAACATAACATCCATCAATCATCATCAATGCATGGAAAAAGTCATCATCCCTAATACTGTGTTTGTTTAAAAGATTTGAAAAGAGAAGAGAAAAAAAATGTAAAATTATGTGAAATTTAAGTATATTTTATTCACATTTTACTTATTTTGTTTTTTTTTTTCTAAATTTTTTCTCAAATCTCCAAACTAAATATAACATAAAAATAATAAAACAACTTCTCGTAACAGAGAGATATGTCTATAGTGTCCTCTCAACGTGTACTGATACATACATACTGTCTATAACTACATGTTCTTCTCATTTTACTAACTACAGATGTGCACCCTTGTGCTGGAGAAATCATTTTACTAATTATTTTTTGCTCCTGGAGCAAATTCATGTGGTGAGCAAATTCACTGGACTAGGACATTTTGTTAAGTTCTTGGGAAACAATTTGATAAATATAAGTGATGGATGGTGTTAAGTAATGTTCCAAAATCATTAAATAATTACTCTTTCTGTTTGATATACCTTTTGTCTCTTTAACTAAACGTGCAATTGACTGTTGTTTTGTTAGGTATAAGGGTGAGAATTTTTGATATGACACAAAATCAACTTAAACTAAGATTAATCATTTTTTACATGAGTTTGACTATGACACAATACGATAAATAATTAAATTGAGAGATATCATTATATATTTACATTTTTTAATTAAACCTATCTAGCTAAAACAAAAAAAAAAATTGTACAATAAGATTTTGATATCAATACATTCTTTTTGTTTTCTATTTGACATGATACGATCTTTTTATTTACTAATTTGGAGTCAATTAAACAAAAATAATTAAATAGGGTTAAATTTTTTGAAATTAAAAAAAATAGTTGAAATTAACTTTTTTATTATTATGAATAATTTGATTTAGTAGAGATTAATTCATGAAATTGAACTTGTGAGTTTTTCTTCTTTTTCTTTTTGTTTGTTTTCGTACATTTGAACTTTTTAATTAAGAGTAAATTTTTTTTGACATGACACATATCAGACAAACTAAAAATGACATGATATAATAATACAAAAAAAATAAAATAAATAGATTGAGTTAGTATCAAATGAATTCTAACACAAATTTAAAATGACACAACATGATGAGTAGAAAAATTTTAAGACAAAGAAGTGGGCCTATCAATGGACTTCGCCGGTCTTTGATTCTGTGTTTTTAACCTTTTTTGTTCTTATAGATTTGGTTTGTCTTTAGTTGAAGTTTTTTATCAGTAAAAATTATTAAATAGAAGTTTTTTTATCAATAAGAGTTTATGAAAACATGGCCTAATTAATTTTTTTAAAGATTCTTATTGATAAGAGCTATTCGTTTAATGACTTTTATTGATAAGAAACTCTCATTTAACAATTTTTATCGATAAAAAATCTTAACTGTCTGATCCAAATTGGAGAAAAGCCATTCTGTTTTTTTATTTTATTGATCAATAAGATGAGCTCAGTGATTCCATGCTCCGAGCGAGGTTCCAACCCCCCAACACCAACCCCTCACCCTTATGTTGTAGTGAATTTCTGCTCTTGCACCTAAAAAAAAGAAGAATTTCTTCTCTTGTAACCCAAAAATAAACATAACATATAATATGTACCTTCAATTTTTTTATTTTTTGTTTTGGTAGTAGTAGTAATTACTAGTAGTATTCTCGAGGAGGCTGGACAAACAAGAGTTGATATGAATGAATCAGGATCCTCTCCTTGCTTCTCTACTTGTTGGGTTATTGGACCCACTTTTGGGCTCAAATTTGATGATCTGAACCGTTCACATTTTAAGATTTGTTGAGTATATCACACCTGTTAAAAATCAAATTGATCGGATATCAGAAAGCATATATTTGAAAAACTATTTATTAAATTTTTTTAAAAAATGATTTTTAGTTTGATGAACCGAACACGTAGTTTCTGATATTCGATCAACTTGAATTTTTACAGGTATGATGTACTCAACAAATCTTAAAATGTGAATAGCTCGAATCATCGAAATTGAGCCCAAAGTGAGTCCAATGGCCCAGCAAGTAAGGAAACAAGGAAAAAGGCATGAGAGGATCCTGATTCGATATGAATGGGATGATTGATAAATTCAAAGTGCTCCCTCTTTCTCTCACCGAATATGAATATAGTGATACGCATCTCTCACCGAATATGAACATAGTGATACGCCTCGTTTGGAAAATAAAAGTTTTAGCTTAAAAGTTAAAAAATTATTAAAAAAATTAAAAAACCTATAACCTTACAAAAAAGTCAAAAATTCTATTTTCTCTCTACTTTTTGTACATCTTTTCATAAAAAACTAAAAAATCATTCGAAATATATAAAAAAAATTTATCTTATATTTTAACTAAAAAACTAAAAAATTACTAAAATAGTCTATTTCGAAACGAAGCCTAACTCCCATGCAAATCACATAGTAAGAGAAATTCAACAGTCCAATGTCCCTACAAAAAGATTGATTAATTAATTGTCTATCATATCCATATTATATATATATATATATGTATATATATTATGTTCACATTATTAATGTCAAACATGTTAGGTAGGTAGAAATAAAATAAAACAAAAATAAAAGTAAAAATTATGAATTGCACCCATCTGATAGCTGCAAACCGTGTTATTGCTGGATTTCATGAAGTCGATCTGATCTTTGATACCATACCATCATCTTCTTGGGAGTTAAGTGATGAACTGTGTTAGAAGTAGAATTGATCACCACCATATACAACAATTGGTTTTTTCCAATGACAAAACTAGCATTTTGTTGAAATAATTTCTTCAAGTTGAGGGGAATGAAGCCTGGTCCGAAATCATTCAAATGATATGTGCTTTGAGTATCATTTCATGAATGATTTCGAACCAGACGACATTCCCCTCAACATTTTCAAGAGAGAGAGAGAGAAAGAAAGCTTGATTGGGCTATTATGCATTATGCTTCATGGGGTCCTTTTATACTCGAGGTCCTAGGGTAAGAAGGAGATTCTCTCTTTGGGGGGTCACATGACTCGGAGTCCACTTTCTACACCACCCCTAACACGCTTTCACACATTGGAATGTAGAAATTTTATTGTATTACTTTTAAGATTAAAAAAGTGTTTTTAACAAACCCCATATACAAATTATTTCCCTTGTTCTCACTATTCCAATTAAATTCATTCAATAATGTTCTAGATTTAGAAAATTTTTATAGAAAAAGTCTTTAGAGTACAATGTGATAACATTGTATTTATTCTGGTCAAATACATATCGCGTTCTAAATAAATAGTATTATTAAATTAGCAAAGCATTTTAAATGCATTTGAAATTAATTTAAAATGAAATGTTCAAATTTTACTAGTGATAGTGAGGTCAACGCTGGCTAGCAATTGCATGGTAAAGATTTGGATAATATGGATCATTGAGTAATCTCTCATAATCCACACAAGTGTCTGGTTATTATAAAATAAAATAAAAATTGTATTGCCCTAGTAAAGTCAATAAGAACATTGATTGGATATCTTTGTCTGTGACTTTAAGAAGGCCATGTTTGGGAGTTCTCAATTGTGAGCAAACACTTGGGCAATATCACAAAAATCATATGCATGCTTTAAATTTCTATTCTTTAGTTTTTTTTTTATTTTTTATTTCATTTTTTATCTCTTAAATTATTAACATTTTTTTTTTCTTTTTCTATTTCATTCATAAATTATCAATTTCATCTACTTAATTCTTAAAGTTTCTAACTTCATTTCATATATGATCCGATTGAGACAATCATTCCAGATTAGTAATGGTGAACACCTAAACTAATAGACAATCTTACAATTTAGACAATCTGAACCATATAACTAAACACTTATCCTTTTACTCCAACTATATTAGACAATTTACACCTAATAACCAAAAGACCCATCTTCTTCTTCACCTATCATTTCAAAATAGTAAATGCAAATAAGTAATTAACTATATGGTTTAATTCAAGTTTTGAAATGACATTTTTGCACATTAAATTAGGTTTTTATCAGTTGTTGATTAAGATAATTGTTCCTAATTAGGCACACATTTGTTAAAATTATGAACTTTAGGGACTAAATAGAAGAAACTAAAAAAAAATAATATTGATAAAGATAAAAGTGAAATTAAACCTTTAATTTTTGGTCACTTTTGTTTTCTTTTCTTTTGAAAAACAGAGACTGAATTCAAGAAAGTATTTGAGGTCAGACTTGCTTCTAAGGATATGTATTGACATTCTGTGTTTTTATTCTCAACTCTGAAGCAAGGGATATGTCCTTTGCTTCCCACTATGATAAAGGAAAGGTGGGGAGGTGGAGAACCTTGATCAATAAGGCATATGTAGCTCTGTGTGATGCCAAGCTTGACTCCCAAGCTTACCACATATTGCCTTTATCAAGCCTTTTTTTATAGCACCCACAAATATAAAAGAAGGGATGTGAACTAAAGTGGAAATTTAAGTCAACATGCTTGATTACTTGCAAATTTCATCAATTAAATATGCTTATACCATAAAGAAGCCACCAAGATTAAGTTTGGATGACATAAATCTTGAGAAAAAGAATGTGTTTTTCACGAGTCAAGTATTTTATGAGAATTTTGGATCAAAGAAGAGGAAGATCAAAATATGGTGTGAAAAACTCAAATCGATACAAATGAAAGATGCTTCTGAAACTTGTTTTTCTCGATCAAATCCCATGATTTCACTATTTGGAATAGATTGAAATAGGAGAGTGAATACTAATTACCTACTATGATTGAAATTAGTTTTTCAAACTAAAATGAATCTAATCCTCACACCCCATAATAATCTCATATTTAAGCTCACTATAACGTATGTTTTAACACTCGAATTATCCACACACTTCAAAGAAATTATCAGTGGTATTAAATTAGTAGGTATCATATTCCTAATAATGAGACTCTCATTCCCCACTAGATTCCGACCATTCTAACATGACAGAGAGAGAGAGAGAGGTGATTTTATGACAAATTGACAAACAAAATTAGGTATATGAACTATAGATATGTATATGTAATATGTATAAGAGTGAATTCCTTATCTTTACAACCAGTAATGTTGCTTTCTAGAAAGCTAGACAAGAAAAGACTGCACTTACACTAAATAGTACCCAATAACTAAAATTTATCACAAATAAGTATTCCACTCCACCATTCTGTTATGGTGTGTTTGGTTGGGGGATTTGGAGAGGGATTTGGAAAGGGAAAGGGAAAAAGTGTGTGAAACTATGTGAAATATATACATATTTTATTCACATTTCACTTACCTTTTCCATTTCCCTTTCCAAATCCCTCTCCAAATCCCCCAACCAAACACAACATTAGACATTATAAAAAATTCAAAATGATTTACATACCTGTGGTACGGAAGCATATACACAATGTAAAGCCATATGTTAAATGAGTTTGGCACAATAGAGATCTTCCCCCCAATTAATTATACTGAGTGAACCAATAATTTTTGGGGAACAAAAAAAAAATTATCAACAGCATCTCTACGCAACCTCCAAGAATTCATTTTCCCTGTTCATATTAAGAATGAAGACACTTTTCAGTATTAGAAATTGCATCCAGACTTGCGTTCTAAAATTTCAGCATAAAAAATAAGAAAAAGCAACATCATCATTTTTTAATCCTGGTGATTCATTCCAAGCCAATGAGTTATTCACTTTCTGCCTTATGAATGCATTGCATATCGATAAGTTTTTGCCTTTTTGGACATAAAAAATTTCCACATATGAACCAATCATCCACATAAAACAGCAACTATAGCTGATTTGTAAACATGCCTAACAAATGAAAGTCTCACAAGGAATCATGGAAAGATGCAATTATTATCGACAGATAACACCTCTAAAGTCAAATTCTGCCTGAAAGCCGAATAGGGGTTGGACCTAACCAAGTACCATTCATGAAGTTAGACAGTGAAGGATATGTACGGATACATGTCACATCATGATGCAATTCCCTGAGAAATTTCATCCTTTAATGTTCTATTCAGTCATCAGTGCCTATCTAGACAACATTTTCATTTCATAGTTCATATGCAAGACACATTAAGATATATGTACTTTCAAAAACCATCCAAACAGGACCTAAAAATTAAGACAAACCCATAACTAGCAGCATTACCCAAGTTTAAACATGCATTTCCAGCCAAAGAAACTAGAAACTAGTATGATGCTGTACATTTGTGAAGGCAGTCATCATGGATGTCTCCATGCAGATCCACTCAAAAAAAAGGATAAAAAATTTGAGCCTGATAATAGAGCCACACCATTCATGAGTCGTGACTGTTAAACCTAAACAATTCAAAGAAAAGCACACACAAGATGTGTCCTTTGAAACTTTGGAGTCAATATAAACTTTTTAGGCCCCCACACTGTTTGGAAATGCTTAGCAGAATAAAGTGCTTTGTGATAGTACTCCCAACACCAAAAGATAAATACATCACTAACTAATCAATATAACACAAAAGCAAATGGAATCAGGACCTCCGTGCAATTTTAAGATTTTCTGCCATAAAAGAACCTAAAAGTCAAAGCACCTTTTCAAGTAGTATTCTGCTTTTACATTTTGAGCATGTCCTACACAAAATGTATAAATACTATATTGAAACACATAACTATTGAATTCAAACAAGCATGTTTTTCCTTCTTTTCTTTTTTGCAAGATTTCTCATACTTAGTTATTTCATAATTACTAAACAATTATTCTTACCTGGGGAGATTTTGCCTTAAGAGGGGCATCCTTCTGCTTCACTCATCGCTTCATGATAGGAACAAAATAAGTATCAATTACTAGACAATAACAAAAGAAACATGTGAAAAATAAATTGCATAGTTATGTCTCCAATTTTTCTAATGCAAAATGGAACTTTACGAAACGTGTCACACTCTGATTGTAATGCCGACACAAACATGTTTTAAAAAGGATTGCATAAGTCAAAGAGAAGAACAAGTAACAGCCTTGGAATGCTAAAGAACTGGTCATCAACCTTCACATGCCCCACAGCAGTAGTTGCTTAACAAAGTCATGTTTTTAGGTTTAATCGAAATATATATATATATATATATATGCCATCACAATATTAATATGTGCACAAAAAATAACAAGGGTTCTGAGGAGCTTTGATGAGATTCAGAACTAGATTTATTTATGTTAAACCATCTAGTACCCTTGACCTCCTAGTGAGATGCAAGGGTTCTAGCCAACTAGGCTAGTCCTAGTTGGTTCATCTATTAGAAGGTGTACATCGCACAGTTAACACAAACCACTGCAACGATCCTTCCATGAAAAAATAATATAAAATGCGTGTTACTTAAAGGTTATCAAAACAAGCCCAAAGAAGAAGACTTAGAACTATGATCTTCCTCCAGTTTGAATTTGGAAAACTCACCACCAACACAACTGCACCATTACTTTGTGCAGTCGTTGTTGGATGATGGGATAGGCTCATGTTTGATGTCTTCTTTGGATCTATGGACTATGCAATTCATTGTTAATATCAGGACATAAGGCGTAAAAACCCAGAAAATGATATTTACTATGCCATATGTCTAGAATCCAAGAATGGACTGTTGTGATCATGGACCACCTAATCTTTGCACTTACCATGGGATGAGATTATTGAATCATTGTAGCTCCTCGGCAGCCCCAATTGTGGAAACAAGCTCAAGCTCGTTCAGGTTGCTAGTTGACACACCAAGGCCTTATTTGAAAAGTTGACTATTTTAGTTGGTTATCTAGTTGGTTGGCTATTTTAGCCTAGCTAAAATAATTGTATTCGAAAAGTTGGTTTTTTTTTTTTTTTTGGTTGATTTGAAAACAAATCTTTTGGCGACTAAAAATTTTGGTTGCCATAACAAATATGACTTTAGGCGACAAATGATTTAGTAGCCAAAAACAAAAAAAAAATAAAGAAAAACACTTTTGGCGACTAAACTGTTGTTCAAATTTTGAAATTAAATAAATAGATTTATGAAGAAATCAAATTATATATATACTAAGAACACATGCTAATAATTACAACTAAATTTCAACAGAAATACACAACACAATAAAAGGGTAAAGAGACGAAACCGAAGCCTGCACGGAAGCAGTTTCCTTAAAACAGATTTCGCCGCCTCACTGGTCGAGTGCTTGAGGAATCCCGGCGTCTGTCTCCCAGGATACGACGGTCAAAACCAGCTACGGCAGAAGCACTCTCTGTCTAGCTTAGCGAACAAAACAGTGGCAGCACTCTTTCACTGTAGGAACTTTCAGGCAAACTGACTTGTGAAATGGAAGTAAAAATTTCTGTGTTTGAGACTTGACAGGAGGATCTCAATTTATACATGTATAGGGGAGAGAGGAAGAGCCTCCAGCCTTTATGGCTGTTCATAATGCACCATTAATCTTTGGTAGGTAGAAATAATTTTTAAAAATTTAAAAATATTTTCTTGACATTTATTTTTGTCAAATTAGTTTATATTTTATCAAATTGACGACTTTGTCATTGAAATTGAGCAATCGT